TTGATTTACATTTGCACATTTGTTCATTTTTGAACAGTGAAAACTTGTAAAACGCTCCCACTTTAACACTACATTGAATATTAAGTCTGATATAGCGTGTATAGTAGTATGACTTCAAAACAACATTAGCACTGTTTAACTGACAGTAAACAATGTTGCATTTTATAGTCACTGTCTGATTATATGATTTCTCTATTTAGAATATGCAAACAATACTTTTCTGAAATGATATTATTAAGGAGAAAGTCTGAATATGCGAATATAAAACCCACTTAACCCCAAAGTGAGTTTTGGGGAAATATAATTCCAACACCCGCTGGCCTATCAACAACTACGCTGGACAAAAAGCGTGTCTCCAAAGAGATTTCTAAATGGTGAGTGGGTTGTATATCATCATCAGATGACTTGAGGCATGGCTTTGGACAGCAGGGAAGGGATGTAAAATTTTCAAAGCTATTATGCTAACGTTAGCGTTCAATCAGCTCCTCTACTGCACCTTTAATACCACAAAATTACTTCACAGCTTCTATCATCTAAACCTCAGAGAAAAAAAATACAGAGGTCCAAAACCTCAAAGACCTCAAATGTGTGTGTGACCATTCATGACTGAGTATTTTTTGACAGAACGTTCCTTTTCCAGTGAACCATGCCTTTAAAAACCAGTGAGATGTCTAAAGAAAAAATAAAATACTGAATTCTACAAACTCACCGAGCAGGCAAAACAAAGATGGATTCACTTAATAGTCTCCAAAACAAATTTCTGAAGACGCTTACAGGAAAGCTCCTTCCCTAATGGTTTATGTAAACACATTTATTTTATTCAGGCTGATTAAGTGCAAACACTCCATGACAACTTCTCCCATCCGCAACCCCTCCTCATCCTCGCAAATCGGCACATCAGAAAATACTGAGGTCTGTACCCTTTATCCGAGAGTGCCATTAGTGCCATTACTCCAACTCTGATCACATTATGCTGATAAATACCGTATTATCTGAGGCTTGTTCCCATCTATGGTCTAACGTGACTCATCTGCTGTGTTCAGGTTTGTGTGTGGGAGATCTAAAAAAAAATAATAATAATGAAAACCTCAAGATGTTCAAAATGGAAATGTTTTTAGCTCCAGTTCACTCAGAATCTGATCAGAGCCTCAGATGGCAGCCAGCATGACGGTTGACAAGACTGTGAAGTGTCTGCTGCTTAGATGTGCTTCAAAAGAACAACACATTTAACAGGGGGAAACGGGAATCCATAGGATCCATCACGGAAATAAACCACTTCTCATCTGATCACTTACTCCGTCTCAGTTTGTCACGTCTGGTGTCCCGTGTTCCTGTCGAGCTTGCCTTTTCATGGAAAGTTCTCTTTTTTTTGCCATTGTGCATTCATACTGGCTATTATAAGAGAGTGAAGACGATAAACTACAAAGCCTAAATGAATATTAATCAGACGATGCCGTGTTTTTAATATTCATGAACTAAGCTGTTTACAGGTTACTTTGCCCCCAAGTAAAAATCCTGTTATCCTGCGCTCGTCTTTGGAACACAAATCAAAATGTTTAATCAAATCTGAGAGACTTCGCTTTCATTAAAAGTCTATTCACCCAAACTTTTGACACTCATGATGTTTGAGCATCTGTGACCAAAATCCTAAAGCATCATTGCTGATCAATGTGTAAACGTAAATAAAGGCCTCAAATAAATCAGTTTATAGTATAAAGTGATCGTCTTTCATCTGAAGATTTGGATTAAGCCATTTAAGCCTTATGGATTTATTTTTAGCCCTTTTCATGAACATTGAGTCATTGTTAACACTTGAAGACAGTATGTATACTTTGTAAGTTTATTCTTTTTGCTTTATAATGCATGCAAAATAATAGTTTGCAATGACTGGTTATATTGCAGTGTATCTTACAGGTTTGAAATATATTACGGTGGTAGCCAGATTGAAAGACACCTTTACGCACAGCACATAAATGACCAAATAAATGGACCAAAAAATAAATAAATAAATGAATAAATAAATAAAAAATATATAGATAGATAGATTTTATTTGTTTTAACTGTATTATTTCTATTGTTATTTTATTATCTATCACTTTCTTTTCTTTATTGGCATGACATTTTGTAGAGTATTGCCAAATCATTTTAGATATGTATAAAATAGCCTATATAATACATTCACCGGCCACTTTATTAGGTACACTCGTTGATCTTTATTAGGACTATCGTTCAATCATTCAACTGCTCGTTAATGCAAATTTTTAGTCAGCCAATCACATGGCAGCAACTCAATGCATTTAGGCACAAAGACATGGTCAAAACGTTCTGCTGCAGTTCAAACTGAGCATCAGAATGGGGAAGAAAGGTGATTTAAGTTACTTTGAATGTGACATGGTTGTTCAAGCCAGACAGGCGGTTTTGAGTATTTCAGAAACTGCTGATCTACTAGGATTTTTCACACACATGCCTTGTTAATGTTAGAGGTTAGAGGAGAATGGCCAGACTGGTTCCAGAAAATAGAAAGGCAACAGTAACACAAATCTCTGAACGCACTTCGGGTGAATGGGCTACAGCAGCAGCAGACCACACCGGGTGCTACTCCCGTTGCCTGGTCTGGTGAGTCTTGATTTTTGCTGCGACATTCAAATGGGAGGGTCAGAATTTGCCATCAATAACATGAAAGCATTGATCCAACCTGCCTTGTATCAATGGTTCAGGCTGCTGATGGTGGTGGTGTAATGGCGTGGGGGATATTTTCTTGGCACACTTTGGGCCCATTAGTAACAACTGAGCATTGTGTCAACGCCACAGCCTATCTGAGTATTGTTGCTGCCTTTGTCCATCCCTTTATGACCACAGCATACCCAGCTTAAGATAGCTACTTCCAGCAGGATAGCATGCCATGTCAAAGCTCAAATCATCTCGGACTAGTTTTTTGAAAATGACAATGAGTTCACTGTACTCAAATGGCCTCCACAGTCACCAGATGTCAATCTCATTGAGCACCTTTGAAATATGGTTGAATGGGAGATCCACATCATTTATGTGCAGCCGACAAATCTGCAGCAACTGCATCATGCTATCATGTCAACATGGACCAAAATCTTTGAGAAATATTTCCAGCACCTTGTTAAATCCATGCCATGAAGGATTAAGGCAGTTCTGGTCTGGGGGTCCAACCAGTACTAGTAAGGTGTACCTAATAAAGTGGCTGGTGAGTGTATATTAACATCACATTAATAAAATATACAGCAAATGAGAAATAAATGACAGAAAAAGAATGTATAGTAAAGTTTTTCGGAGTCATTTATTAAAGAATGAATTATTCAGTGTTTCTCTCGCTCTCATGGCAGTGTGTGTGCAGTCAGCTGTGAAGCCAAACGAAAGTAGGTTTAAATAAAAAGTTAATGTAAATACGCTTACAATTAATGAAAAAAAGCCAAAGCAAAATAAGAGATCTAGAAACCCTGGCCGGATACATTTTAAGCGCCAAAAAGGCATGTCTATGTGGGTCTGCAGAGCACGTGACAGTGGGAGAGATGATAGTTCTTACACACACAAAACCAGCAGTAGCCTACAAAATGGGTAAATGAGAGGCATTTTTCCCACTGGTTAATTGATTGCAGATATTTGGTTGTTTTAGGCGGATATGAAAAATTAAAAAATTTTAAAAAATGTAAAAGGATGATACTAACAGAAATAATAATACATTTTTGAAATGTGTTGCTAAATATACTTTGGCGACAGTTGATATACCTGGGTGGTCTAAGTAAAGTCCATGTGTGGGAAGCCCTGTATGGCATATGTAAATACATTCTTGAAACATGACTACAAGGGACATGTGTTAGCAGCTATAAAATGTAATGAAATACTTATAAGTACAACAAAAACCTACGTTAGTATTTAAAAATGAATAAGTAATGTATATAAAATTTTTTTTTTTTTGAAGTAAACCCTTTTTAAGATCTGAAACTTTGCAGATATAACAATTTGAGAGCTAAAATTCTTGACAACTAAAGTGGATAATTTTTGTGTTTTTACAGGTATTCATGAAACGATACAACACATTATAACGTTGTTTATATATCATATCAGCATCCATATTGCAACGCGAGATTCTGCAATAGTCACATCACAGGACCTGCATAGTCAAGTTGGGATTATAATAACAAGGAACCACATTTCAGAATGTGAGCCATTGCAAAGTTTAACCCTAATAGAGTGAAAGATTTTCATTTGGATGTGTTTTAAGAGCATTTGACTAAGATATCAAATAAATTCAAGGCATTTTAAAGTTTATAGATTTAACAAAGATTGATTGTATTTAGTGGTTTATAGAATGACGAATATAGAGTTATTTTACATTTATATTTACAGAATATTGAATATTGTTTTTCAGTGCTGTTAGACTCCACAAAAACGCATAAAACAATAAATATATATTTTTTTATCTTTGGTCTATTTTTTATCTGTGCTTGCAAATTATTTGTTTTATACAAATATAAAATTATGTAAAATTATAAATTCTTTCAGTTATTTAGGTCATTGTGTATGAACTGTGTTGATATCACAATATATATTGCAGAAAACAAAATATTGCAAAGTCAGTTATTTCCAATATGTTGCTCTAATATGCAGCATTAAGAATAACATTACAAGGCACTAAAAACACAGGCTTCAATGAAAGTGTTACCTATATATCAATAACAGTGTTCTAAAACCAATTACTAGTTTGGAATGACATGGAAAAATGCTTACAATTTTCATTCTGTGGTGACCTGACCTTTTGTGTTTTATGAATGCATTTTTTCATAACTAAAGGCATGACATTTGCTCTGAATCCATTTGAGCAGCTCACTATAATAATGACATCCAATCTCAGTGTGTTTCTGACACCGCAGCACCTTGAAAATGTGCAAGTGAAGTGATTTCCAAAGGTCTCTGGTGATCTGGCTGGCCCTGATCGTTTATGCAAGCAGTGTTTTGGAGAAAAGCCTTACCTTGACCCCACGGACGCGGAACTCCGCTAACGCTCGGCTCATTTTGGCAGAGGCCGCCGGCAGATCCTTTCCACTGGCGATGACTTTCACCAGGAGGGAATCATAATGAGGGGAGATGACGGCCCCCTGGAAGGCAGACGCGCTGTCCAGTCTGATACCCATGCCCTCTCCACTGCGAAAGACCTGCCCAAGAGGAAAGCAGAGCACGCTCAGAATACAGATTTACACTAATCGTCATGTGTGCGCTGGAGGGGCTGCTCTAAAATATTACATTTCAGACATGCACAGTTTTAAACCGTACAAACAAACCAAACACACTTTATTTTGACACACTGCTTTTTTTTTTAACATAACACTTTCACTTATAATGTTGGATCCTTAAATAATTCACAGCCAACACACACCAGATGCAGAAGTTGTGTGTATTTATAAATGCTTCACACATATTTCCTTAAATTTAGACAGCTTTATTTTCACAGTACATCTGTTTGTTTTTACAAAATTATTTAATATTTAAATAAAAATTTAGTGTTCATTATTTTCTGTTGGTTTATAACCATATATGAAGACGCAGCAATACTAATTAGTCTTTTGTTACTTTATTTTAGATGTTCTTCGGGATTTTTTATATAAAATTATTACAAAATAAACAAACATTGAAAAAAAAGATCCATATACAAATTCAAATGTGATCATTTACATTTTTTATTATTATTAGTAGTAGTAGTTGTAATTAAAGTTGTTGTCCTAAATATTGGTTTTAAAATTAACATGTATACTGTATATTTTAAAAAGATTTTAGACAGACTGATGTATTGAAGTAGATTAAGGCCCAATCCCAATTAAAATTTGGAAAAGCACCCTTTAAAAGGGAAAGGGATTCAAAATTTACCCCTAAGAAATGGGACAGCACTACAGCACCTGCACACGTCATCGTATGTCATCACGAGCTCTTGCTTCATATGAGATCGATGATGGTGACTGCTGTAGTTGTTCCAGTTATGTTATTTTTTGGTATTTATCTTCAGGAAATCCCTGAAGGTAACGATATCAAATGTTATCAAAAAGATATAATGTGGAAATAAGCTCCTAACTGCTGTGCATTTACACACTGGACATATTCATCTATGTACAGTAAACACAAGAAAACATCATTAACATTATAGCAGACACTGTAACAAGCTCATTCCCAACCACTAGAAATTTCTGGCATTCGAGTGTCAGATGTAAAAGTATGTTGTGGGACTGCTACACAGGAGTTATTATAAGGGATTATAGATAGGCAAATTTAGCACCTTTTATTTTAGCGTATTTTCAAAGAAATATAGCAGTAAAACATTCCCTGACACGGGTGCAGCTATACTGCCAATGTGGCTAGTGTATTCTGGGAAATTCTTACCCCTTGGTTTCGAGTGTGGTCCTGAAAAATCTCCCTTTCGAGGGGTATCTAGCCCTTCCCCTTAGCCCTACACTTTCAAGCTAAAAAGATTTGGGAAACCCCTACCCCTTTACAGAAATGCACAAAACGAGGGGTAGGTAAGGGGTAAGGGGAAGGCTAAGGTGTAGAATTGAGATTGGGCCTTAAAGTGTAATTACATTATCATCATCATCATCATCATCATCATCAACAGCTGATTTTTGATCACTCTCATTTCAGCTGAAAATAAGACTGTATGTTATATTACTATTAAAAAAGCTTTTCATGAGCTAACAGCTCCTCTAGTTTGTGTATTTTCCATGCCAATTCCATGAAATTAAAGATGCTTTTTTACTGCACGATATGGTATGGTTCAGCATGACTTGGTTCAATTGAGTTCAGTTTTGTTCATCTCGGTTTGCATTTCCACTGCTGTTTAGTACCACTTAAAGTAGGTGAGATTATTGCTATAGGCCGCAACAAACACATTTTATACTCTCACTCTGATAGTGATACTGGTAGGGACCTTTATCTCTGACCAGTCGGTGAACAGCAGTGTGTATAAGTCCCTTTTTGGTAACAACACTGCACGCTGGGTACTAGGGATGTCCAGATCCAATCGCGTGATCGGAAATCGGCCAACTATGCGTTTTCAGACTCTATCGAAATCCAACATTTCCTCCCAATCAGTACTTGAATATTCATATAAACCTAGGATTACCTGTAGGGTTTTTACAGTTGAGGTGCTATTTGTTTTATATGATTTTTTTTTAATAATTACTGTTGTACTAAAGTCCAAAAGTAAAGAATTTATGTTATTTATTACTTGTTTGTTCAAGCTACCTCACAGAAGTGCTCTGTTTGATAACAGAGTTGTTGAATGTTAAAATAAAGTGAACTAAATAAAAATAAGCAACATCCATCTATTTTTTCGCTCTTCTATATTCTTTTATGTATTATAGAAATATCGGATATCAGTAGATACTCTAAATCAAGTGATTCGGACTCGAGAACAAAAAAACCTGATCGGGACATCGCCACTTGAAACCTCACTGTGCTGTACCATGCAATGGATATGCACATACATTCCATGGAAATGTGTTCAGTGGCACTCGGTTCTCTAAAACACTTCAGACATCCCCTAAAATAAACCCAAAATGGGTGCAGGAGACTTTGCCTGAGAGCCACTAATGGTTGCAGTTACTCAAAGGTGAACAGGTAAAAACTAGTGGTTAAAATGCTTCGCTTGGGTGCAATTGAGCAATCTAACAATACCGCTCTTGAGGATGAGGAGCACAGGAGGCGGATCTGAGTTGCGGGAGGTTTCAGAAAGAAAAAAGAAAAAAATATTTTAAAATCTAACATTTCACAGACAGCTGCCCCTTGAACTGTACAAACATTCATCCAGCAAAAAATAGAGCAACCGTCGACACAAGTACCTCAGGGGAGTGTGCAGGCAATAAGAACAAATTGAGGAGAAGAAAAAAAGAAAAAAAAAAAACACACAGACACACAAACATGCGCACAAAAACCGGCAACTGGCAGCAGTCATTTACTGTTGCAATTGTGCTCAGTCTCAGCCTCTGGCATCCACATTACAATCATCAGCACAGTAATATTGATGTGCGCAGCAGAGATGCAGGCACCGGCGGAGGTATTGTATATGTGGGGTGGTACTGAGATATAATGAGAACTGAGAAATAAACAGAAACAGATAAAAAAGAAAGATGCAGAGGCCTTGGCTTCATTAGGGTAGAGGTTTTAGTAATGGCAGCGATTGTGCCTCTGTTTATGACATAAGACATGCTAATGAACAGTCAATCCACCGGAGATTATACAAGCATCGCCATGGCAATCCAAAACAGTAATTTGATATCCCTCAAATTGAGTGGAAATTTGATTTGACGCCGTTTAATGGCTTCTGCCACCCGGCGAGACGACCGTCACAGAGATAAGACAGCATTTCTGTGTCATTTACACCCTGAACGGCTGTAATGAGTGGAAGAACGCAAATAATGGTTTTTATTACCAAAAAGCCAACATGAAACCAAAACTGATGGCATCTGCTTTCTGGAAAGGGTAAAGGAATAAATTTCATAGTGTTCATGCTCAAGATTTTATGCTAGTTTACATTTATATGCATTTGCAGCGAATACTATCTGATGTTCCTTCAATGCAGACCTAATTCATTACATTTTTCACAACTCCTAAATTAACTTTTTTAAAAGGTCATATGTAGATAAACAAACAAACATGAATGAATAAATGAAAATAGTAGGGGCGTCAAAATTAATTGTTTCTTCTGTGCACCATGATGCAGATGTGGACAATTCGGTATCAGTTCACTAATAGATCATAACCGGTTATTACGTACTGACGTCATTATCTCATATGCAAGCCATGCGCACACCTCTCCCAATATGCGCACATCTCCATTGGAAATAATGTACTTGCTTGCGGGAAAGACGCACTATGTCAAGGGTTTGCAGCTACAGTATAGTTAATCCAACATGCATGTGTATTGGCATAACTCTGTTTAGTTGCAGCAGCTTTTTTCCGTACAACAGAAATGCGGTAATGGGAAACCTTTAACGAATAAAAGCTGGGTTAATAGTGAAATCAGCTATCGCACCCCTATTAATGATATCAGTGCGTTGTACAAAAGGCCCTTCGACAAACATATCCAAATGTTTTCGGGTGCTCGCATCACTCGCTTAGTGTCAGGTGACTCACTCTCTGCGCAGCATTTACTGTCACTGCAGATTGTGCTGTATTGAACAGACACACGTCACTTCATAACTATTGCAACCATTTTTTGACTGAACTAAATTTATTTTTAATGTCTTGGTCACAGTATTTGGCGGGCCGGAACAAATTGCCGCCAATTGAATAGCCCTGGTCTATAGTAATAACCTCCCTGATTGTAGATTCAGCAACAGGTTAATCTGCCATTTGAGAGTCTTTCATGGAGAGAAACCTCCTCAGGTCTTTGCATAATCATCCATTCAGAAGTTAATTACCAAATATCTTGATGTAAGTTCACATTGTTGCTGATGATGTGTAACATGGAAAACATTCAGCAAATATTTTCAAGTTGGCTAGATATTATTTAATAGTCATTTAAACAACTTTACCGAACCCTCTAGTCTGCCATGTTTGTAGTTTATTTACATTTTTTACCCCAGTTTGTAGTTCTAATCGAATTCACGTCTAATGCACATTGTATTTTGGTGCAATTTTAGTGGTTAGAGTATGGATGCTTTGAAATTTACTGGAAATAGTAAACCATCCGAGAACTTTTGGCATACTCTTTTCAACATACTATGGTTTGGCCATACTAATTCCATTTTCGAATACCATTTAGGATGGATGGAATGCGAATTGGGGTGCAGCATAAGAGTTAATGCACAGATATGTTTTGGATTGACAGATTTTTGTTGTTATGTTTATAATAATGGGGCTTTTCACAGTTGCACAGTTTAACCCTGGGTCACTTTAAACCTCCATTAAACTAAACCTGGATTATCTTGCCTTATAATTCCTATGTTTTACCTAGTTTTTCCCCCTCATGAGTTGACTTTTCTAAGAAACTAGCATTCATTTCCATTACAGTAAATGAAAAAATTACCAGAAACAAGAAAAATACTATTATATCATTATCCAACAAGCTCCACGCTGAACCATCCGGCTCAGCTGTGCCCAGAAAAATGAGACAGGGCAGCCATAACAGCGATCTAAAGCTGTGTACTTGGCTTTTCATCATCAG